CCTCACTCCGCGCAAGGGGGATGATCGCAACACGTGTTAAAATGGTCAAGCATCCTCGAGGCAGTTCCACAGTGCTTGCAACTGTCTCTGGAAGTGAAAGCACCATAAAGTAAATCAAGTCATACGCAGCTGTCATCCGTATGCAAGGAAGTAAGCACAAGATGCCGAAAACCCTTAGCAGGATGCAGCGCACCCTTCATGCGACTCGCCGAATATCTCACGGCGCTTCGCGCTTGGTGATGTGAGAGCCTGGTCCGGTGAGAACCCGGCGTGCTCCGTCCCGGCTTTGTAGGGATGCGAGGTCAATGGTCTAACGACTACGGCATGCACGACTATGAGTACACCCCCCCCCCATATTTTTTGGTATATCCCATGTTTGTTCCCCGGTAGTGTTTGTTGTTCATGTAAGAACATTCAGTATTAGAAACGTTTTTGTCACATGTACTTTTTGTGCGTGACGCTCCTGACTCAGTTCGACCGCTACTTCAGCCGGGATCGGAAAATGTTAGGGTGGGATCGCACAGTGGGCAACATGCTGGAGCAGATGGGGCCCTTCTTGTCACTGTTTTGGTCGAACATCTGGCTCTCGCCTTACGGAGGACTGCCGCACGCGTACATCGCAGCTCTAGGGTGGCTGTATGTCCTGCTTCGATCCTTTTATCCGGTGAGCAGCGCTCGAATCATCTATCTGTGACTGGCTTGTGTGCCGGCCGAGGATCTTATCATTTCTATTCTCCGTCGCTATTGTTGCCCGTGTTGTGCGGTTGGTCAGATGGGCGCTACGGAGACTATCGCGGCCGGAACCCGGGAGGTTGATGAAGTCTTGGCCGTTAGTCGCAATGCTGCATTTGTTTCCCTTCCCGTGGTGAATGGACCAATTGCGGTGTTCCTTGCAGGATACACCTTTGCTTGCAATATCTTGTACCCATTGGTGTATTGGACCTTCCCGCACGTGCACCTCTATTGTAAGTCGTTTATTGTTTATTTTTTCATGTGTCTTGTACCTTCCCGTGGTACATTTTTCATGTGCTGTCCGTTTGCATGTATCTAGGGGTTCAACGTAGTGCTCTTGCAGTCAGTCCTACACAGTGCATTTTGTTTTGTTTGTGTTTGTTGAGAATTTCGTTCTCCCCCTTTCCTTACTTTTCTCTCCCTTCTGCTTTGTACCTTTCCTGTCCATTGTTGCGTGGCGCGGGCAGATGTTATGGTTTGCCGGAGGAGGGGGGTCGGAGGGCACGTCCCCTACCATCTGGAGAGTGACGATGCCCATGTAAACAACACATTTCGATGCACCTTTAGGTCTACCACTGACCGTGGAAATGTTGAGCGTTCGATTATGACGTCGGCCTTTTTGCACGGTTAGAGCCCCCATGCTTCAGGACAGCGAGCTCAAGAGGTCTTCCGGAATGACCTGTAGAGACTCGTGGGCCTTAGGTTTTGGGAAGGAAGGAAACGTGGCCGTCGTGTTGACCGGTGGCAATTTTCCGGGCACGTTGTTCTGCTTTTTGGTGTTTTTACGAAATGACAGCGACCTGTTGGGTGAAAGATCACCGGTGGATGGTGAGCTGGCTCAGCCTTTTACAAATCGCCACATGGCGCGCTTCTGTTGTAGCCACGCTTTCATGAAGGATTAGTCTAACCAATGGCCACGGGTGGCCTATGTGTGATGATGAGCCAGGGGGTCACAGATAGTCTACAGAGAATTACACAGCACAAGTGTAGCAGCAGTCTATCACTTTGCGCGACATTCTAGGTTGCCTCGTAATACTTGATGGTAGTAGGTAAAATCGAGGCTAAGCATTTTTACCGGGCGAGTACCCCCGCTCCTTGGAACCACCTTGTAGTGTAGCAGGACTTGTTCAGGGCAGGCGCTGCCTACGCTAGCTAGCTTCCGTCTTCGATGCATGTCTAACATTTTCTGTCCTCACCAGGTACGTGATCATCCTGGTGTTTGCCGTTAACGCGGCAATCGTCATCTACGGCGCATGACTCACGGACGAAGAACGTGGCGGGCAACTGCTGTGATTGATGGCCGTCAGTGATACAGCGGAGCTATGGGGATGCGCTTATATATAGAAATGACCAGAGATCGGGATGAGGTTGATTGCAGGTCTGGCGCCAACTTTGCGGCGGGCATCTTTGGATGTACAAACGACCTTGATTAACCTCAAACAGCCGAAAATGGCTCTGATGGACGACTTCGCCATGAAGTTGCCATTTATAGCCGAAAGCAGCGAGCGCTATACCGGTCGGAGGGGACCCCGTGCGTGGCCCTTCGCTTTGAGCTGCACCGCGAAGAAGCTTGATATCGTCCATCTCGCGGGCAGCGAAATGGCGGGAAATGAAACTGTGTATGATGGGAATTTTCCTTGCCGTCAACAGAGGGATGTTCGGCCGTGCAGTGGTGGCGGATTCGCACTGTTGTAGACATACTGTAGGCTAGACCTTCAACCGCTTGAACCGGGCATGTCATGGAACTACACGTACTGTACGGATGGTGCATGATTGATTTTTGTAGTGGGGTGGTTAAGGGTTCAGCTTTGACGATCGTGCGCTGTACATAGTGTGGGATTTTGTGTTCCTCCAGCAATGTCTTGTTATTGGTGATTTCCCTGCCGTAAGGTTTTAGTTTAACTACTCTTCTTGTAGTCGGAAGGTGTGGGCGCTGTCGCATTGCAAGCTACGTTTCCTCCCGGTAGAATGGTGATGTGTTTCTCCGGTTTACACAGCAGTGGGTGGACTCCCCCATAAAGATTGTGTCAGTAAGAAGAGCGAGAGCTACCTGTAAAGCATTGAGTGGCAGTAGTAGCATCCGCAGCCTTTGCAGGGCACGTGACGCACGTAACGGCCAAGCAGTTTCAACGAATTTTCCTTGCGCAATGTAATAGCGACATCGCTTCTTCCACCCCCCACCCTGTGCACACAATATCGTCCCCCCCCCCCGAGTTTTCCTCTAGTGCCCGCCATTTTTTGAGGGCTTGTGGGGGCGGTTGGGTCCATTTTGATTAAGTCGGTATGCCTCTGTGCAGAATCATCCTCCACACATGTTTGGTGTAGAGGTTGTGTGCCCTTTTATGAACGGGATCTCCACGTTGCCGTCCCCAACTGCTGATTTCGACACCTCGTTTTTGTTACAAGAATAGACTAGAAGCAAGGAGAAGGCTTTGGGGTTTGCCGCAAACTGACCGGCTGCCGGCGAGTCGATTCTCGTCTTGACAAGATGCTGACTGTGCGTGATGACGCGCGAGGGCGCCACGTACGCCACGCCATCTTCCACGTGTGTGCTTTTGATTATTAGCATCGACCGCGCTAACCGGCTGACCAATGAAAATACGTCAGTCTCAGTGCGGTTGAAAGCACAAAACACTTGTACCATTAACTGGGACCCCGTGAGGCGGCGGCATGGTGTTGGTGTATCCAACCGACACGAAAGTTTGCGGCATTTCCCACCGGCGGCAACGGCATGTCTAGTAATACGTGACTCTGGAGAGAGAGGCCGATGCAGGTGTTCCACAATGAATGCAGCCCATCGCGCACGATGTTTAACGTTGAATCGCCGCCAGTGTGCAGCCTTCTGCGTGTGGTGGTGCCGACCTCCCCACCAATCACAAAATCTGTCTGCGTGTTGCAATTTTGCCGCAACAGGTTTTGTTGTTGTTGTTTCTCACAGTAGCTCTATAGTCCACAAAAAATGGGGAGGCCGTGGTCTCAAAACCCGGCACATACGACGCCGCGAGAAAACAAAAAAAAAACAAAAATAGGGTACAAACCACTCGGAAGAAGAAAACAAAATGATAGACAGAAAAGAACAGATATCGCACCGACCGTTCGAGAAAAGAGCCCTCGGACACCGATCAAAATAAAACAAAACAAAAATAACAGAAAAATAAAGGAGNAAAAGGACATACATAAATGAGAAGAGCATACCGCAGGGAGGGAAACAGGGCGCAACAACATCAGCCGGGTACTAGTTCGCCACAAGCGCTGCCTCGGCCGCCCTACTCGCTTCTACAGCAGTGCCCGGTCACCGTTTCTTCCCCCCCACCGCCGCTTCGCCG